ACATCTGTATGATAATTTTCATTGTTGCTCAATATAGTGAAGGAAAGTATATATGCACAGTGGCGTTGCATCTTAGCCCAGCGGAAATTGTCCTAAAAATGTCGGAAATATGGGAAGGTATGCATTTGGTTCTCCCTTTCCCTTCTTAAATTAACTCGAATTTTTCAAGCTTTGCGCAAACGTGCGAGATCGGCAGAGAATAGCATCGATGTGAAACTGGTTTCTCTGAATAAACTAAATTCCCACGCAGGTCTGAGATTTAATCTGTTTACTTTTTCTTCTCATAATCTCTGTTTCTGTTCGCTTTGTCGACGAGCATCTCATTGCTGCTCTTCGTAATAAATTTCCACCCTTATGTAACTATGAATTCTTTGTGTCGTCATAATCCTATCGCAACATTCAAAAGTAGGACCTGTAGTCCACTTTTGCATGATAAGTTGATCATATTCGATCGGTGGTAAGTCAATGAATTTTAGTGTCTGTTCAGCACTTTTTATTCTTCCGATTATTCCTACTCGATAACACTCACAGTTTTGTCCATGTTCTTCGTATATGCGCTAAGCTGTAATTTTGGAGCTACAACAGTTAGAGTTATCTTTGGTCTTTTCCTCCCAATCTGCAATACCTAGAGTTGCGCATGAAGTTTCTGTGTAAAAGAGAACTAGTAATACTCTGTTCTATAATACTCTTCATGATCTATGCGGTACTCTACCCTAAAACTGTGTTGACGCCTTAGTCCTTATCCTCAACAAATCTTCGTGTGTACATGATTACCTTTCAGGACGTTTGGATGGCAGTGAAGAATCAGTTTCGGCCCGACAGGCCCTGTTTGAGACGCTTACTCAAGAAATTGAAGGACTGTTGACAAAACTGACTCATGTGAACGATGAGGTTGGCTCTAAAAAACCATGTAGACTTTCTTTCAAATCTGTAAAGCTGGAGAGCAGTTATGATTTTGATTGTCTGCTGTGTACAGTTTGATTAAGATTGAAATGGGCTGTGTTTTCTGTGTCCATTTTTCTCAAAGTAACTCATCTCTACTGGTAACCCTTCTAGATGAACGATGTCGTCGGAGCACAGAGTTCGGCTGGGTGGGCGATGAACCCTGCAGTTCAACATACGCTGCGAAGGCATCGTGAGATTCTTCGCGACTACGGCACAGAGTTTCGTCGTGCCCGAGACAATGTGCAGCAACAGCTTCAGAGGTAATTATGTGAACTGAAACTCAAATAGGTTCACCTTGCATAATAAAATATGGATTTACCATTACTTTTTTCTATCAAAGAGATTTATAAGCGAAGTATGTTGTTTGTTATAGAGAATTTCTGCTTGCCGGTGGAATGAGCAGCTCTAGCCAGGAAGGTTCATGCCTCAACAATCGTGTGAAAGGTTCAGATCTATATCTGAAGGAAAATGAACATATAAGCAGCTGCGATAGACTTCTAGACGAGCAAATGGGGTATGTTCCGAAGTTTTGATTCTACTGTTTCGTCAATTCGTTTTGGCGTCACTTCTTTCTCGCTCTCTAATGATGATTCTTTTCAATCAGTTTCCTTGGATTATTACCAATAAATTTTAAAATATTGAAATATTACCAATATCTCTCCTGTTAATTTTTTAATTCAGCGTAACCAATCCTTTCTAGTCTTTTGAAAGATAATTCCAGACCAAGCATCTAGAGTTTGTTGGTAAACATTTTCTAAAATCGAAATCTTAATTGATTTTTTATTAGGATTGCGATGGCAACAAAGGAGAACTTGCAGCGTCAGGGGATGAGTTTGCGAGGAATTGGAAAGAAAATGGACACATTAGCCAGTAAGTAAACATTTTTTTATTCGCGTGTTTGACTACTTTCAATTCATTTATAGAAAAGTATCCAATGATCAACAATGTTATGCAGAAGATCCAGTACAAGAAACGGAAAGACGCGATCATATTATCGACAGTTATCACTTGTTGTTTGATATTTGTATTCTTCTACCTTAAAGGTTGAAGTGTATCTCCTGAGATTGTTTGCTAAACTTTTCACTATGGTTGGTCGCCACATTACCTGTAGATGTACAATCAAGCCATTTGCTGCCTTGATCAAGCGCGAGATTTGTGTAAACTCTAAGTCTCGTTGCAGTTCCATGGGCGTAAATATTTTGATACTCCGCAGCCTTGTTGCCACGATTTTTCTGTGATTGTACCTTGTTCTTTGACATCGATTTTGTTTATATAAGCTCAATGAATTGAGGGTTCTTCTATTATCTGGTGGAAGAGATATTTATTGGTTTGGAGTAGAAGCTAACTCCTTTTTTTCGTTACTCAGTAATAGAGCATTTTATGTTCTCTTATTCTCAAAATTTTCCTTAGCTGTGATAAGTACTTTATTGATCGTATACGATCATTTTACGTTAACTTTTTAACGTTATAACTATATGTTGAGAATGTGAAGATATGTATTCTGATGATGGATAAGATTTCTCCAACTTTTGCCTTTTCGAATCATTTGCGGAACTCGGATGGTCATCCCTCAGTTTCTTGTGTAATCCTGCTTTTGCTTTTTTCTCAAACTGCAGTCAGAGGTTAACTAACTGATAGATGGTTTTGCGACCGATCATATGCCCATCAATTCTAAACGCGGACCTTGCAAATCTTGGCGCCGAATGCAGAAAACTGTTAGCTGCTGGTAAGTTATTCAGATTCTCAACTATAAAACCTTGTAGACTTTGATGAGAATTGAACTTTTGCCGTACCCATTTGAATGTTGTTCAGGAGCAGACTGGTTGCATTTGGATGTAATGGATGGGCATTTTGTGCCTAATCTTACCTTTGGACATCCGGTAGTTCAGTCTTTGAGAAAGGAGCTCGGACCTGAAC